ATGCATGTTAGTGGACTCGATACACAAAGCTAACAAGCTAGAATGCACTATAGCTATACAAAGCATGGCATGCATGGCAAAAACAACCAAAATCAGAGCTAGAGCATACTAAAACATGGACAAAAGCTTCTTGAAATTAAGCCAAAAGCATGTTAGAATGACATGTCAAAGCATGAGACACATTAGGCTAATTCATGGAATTGCACTACAAGTGCATGGAGCATACATGGGGCTATCAAACCAAACCCTAACAGAGGTATGATATGGAAAAATACCATCAAAAACATGTTGAGATGGACTCAAATCGAGTTAGAATGACATGTTACTTCATAAAGCATACAAGACTAGTTTTTGACGATTACACTACAAGTGTACAAGGCATGCAAGGGGTGACCAAACCAAACCAAAACAGTGGTATGACATGCTGAAATAACCCCAAATACATGCTAAGAACAGGCCAACACAACCTTAACAAACATGCTCAAACATGAAGCATATGAAACAAGTATTCAAAATACAAGGAGAGGGGATGACCCTCTCCTATTTAGGACTCCAAAACCAACTTTCCACCACTAAAAATCCTCTGGATTTCAGTGGTAGAAAGGTCATGCAAAGGCTACAGCAAGAGCCTAGAGGGATGGCTCAAAATAAGGCCTAACAAGGCCTAAGAGGGGGTAGATCACCCCCAACAGAAAAGTGACCTTAAACAAACATTTAAAGCATGCAAAAATAGAACTCTTTGTAGTAGAAAGTTAAGCTTAAATCAGCATGAAAATAAGGCTAAAAGCTTAAGCAAAAATGGGGGGTTTAAGTGTTAGAAACTCACCCTTGAAGACCACATTTAAAGCTGCAACTCCAGCAGGTTTTTCAAGCTCAAAGCAACCCAAGAACACCAAAACCAGCTCCTAAGCACCTCAGCAACAAAATGATGGTGTTTGAGTGTGTGTTTGTGTGCAAAAGTGAGACAAAATGACACTTTAAGGCACAAAACAAGAGCAAAAGAGAGATATAGATACAAGTGTGCATGTATATCTCAAACCACAAATTTCTTAACCTGGAGGAGGGAGGAGGAGCCTCCCCCTTATAGAGAACAAAAGCTAAAGCTTCTTCAAGAAGCTAAGGCTCAAGGCCATCCCTCCATACATATGGAGGATGGTTCTAGTGCTCTCCAGCTGTGCCAGCTGGCCAAAAATATCTCTAAAAAGGTGACAAAAAGCAGCCGACCACTTGAAATGGTCGGCTAGCGACTTTAAGTGGTCTCCCACAACAAAAACTGGTCAGCCAGGGATAGGAGAAGTCTACACACTAAAAACAAGCAAGTGGTGTGGTGGCTGTCCAGAAAAGGTGGCCCAAAGACCAAGAAAGCCAGTTATTCGACCAAAAAACTAGCTGGCAGGAGGAAAAGTGGTCTTCAAGGGGAAAAAATGATCTCCCACCCTTGTATCACCTTCCAAACAAGGAAAACAAGGTTTGTACGAAAAAAAAAACAAAACGGATGCAAGACGAGAGATCGGGAGGCAAAGCACGCGGCTGAAAACCTCGAAAACTAGTCTACTAGCATCAAAAGTGGTATACGACCACAAAGTGGTCTCTCGAACCACAGTGTTCCTCTAGGCAGAGGCAACAAGGCATGGTTCAAAAACCACACCGAATGGAGAACGTTAAGCGGTTCCGAGACAAGACGCGCGGCCGAAGGCTCTAAAAATCGGAAACTAGTCTCCAAACAGGAAAAGTGGCCTACGACCACAAAGAGATGGTCTACAAGACCTCTCCCTCCCTCCGGGAAGAGAAAACAAGATTCGGTCCTCAAACCGAGCCAAAGCACAAAGAGTTCAGAGGCCCGGAGGCAAGGCTTTCAGCCAAAAACTCTGAAACCTCAGAACGAGCACGACATGCACAATCACCAAGCGCTCAATTGATGACGTCTGAGTCTTAAGATCAGTCAAAAATAGGGTGTCTACAGTTGCCCCTCTTTGACAGAACTCGGAAGTCATAAGTGAAGGGAGTGAATGTCAAAGCCCAGAGACGACCCATTTTTTACGAGGCTGAAGACTTAGACACACAGGCAAGATAACAAAGAGATGCGCCCGCAGGCTGGGGCAAGATGCAAAAGACATGCACAAAGCCGAACATAACTTATGATCATGCGAAGAAAACTGTAATAAAGCAGTTATACACAATAAATGTAACAGTTTAAGCAAGCGAATTCAAACCAAACTACATCACATGCAGAAAGAATGTAAGAGAATTATACAATTCTCGCTACGTCTCACGCGGAGAACATACAATACCGTCTGGTGCATCTGGTCGCACCAGCTTCAAATAAACCTTACATACAATATCGTATGGTCGCACCAGCCTTAAATGAACTGTACATACAATATCGTGTCTGCAAAAGAAAGAAACTTAACAGGTACAATATAGTTAGCAACACATGTTCAACGCTATATCAAACGTGGACACATATGATGCTGATGGAAAAGTGCATAGCAATGTAAGTGAAACGTGTGTGACGACGCAAGCAAAGTGTGGGTGCATGACAATGCTAGTGAAACGTGCATAACAATGCAAGCAGTGTGCATAACAATGCAGGCGAGACGACCGTGACAATGTGTGTAAAGAGTGCATGACAATGCAGGTGGAAGGGGTGCATGACAATACAACCTAAGTATGACGTATAATAGTGCGAAAAGGGGTGCATGACAATGCAACCTAAGTGTGACGCATAACAATGCGGAAAGGTGTGCATGACAATGCAACCTAAGTGTGACGCATAACAATGCGGTAAGGGGTGCATTAGAATGCAACCTAAGTGTGACGCATAACAATGCGGAAAGGGGTGCATGACAATTCAATGCATTAACAAGTGCAAATAAGGTGCGCAAGATAGCGCGATAAAATGCAAGACAATGCAAGTAATGTGTACCAAGTAGTGCAATGCGCAAAACAGTGCACAAGAAAATGCGAATGCACAAAACAGTGCGATGCGCTAAACAGCGTGATAAAATGCATGCACAATGCAAGTAAGGTGCACAAAACAGTGCGATGCGCAAAATAGCGCGATACGCTAAATAGCGCGATGAAATGCATGCACAATGCAAGTAAGGTGCACAAAACAGTGCGATGCACAAAATAGCGTGATAAAATGCATGTACAATGCAAGTAAGGTGCACAAAACAGTGCGATGAAATGCAGATAGTACAACAGATGCAGAGAGTGACAAACTCCAACCATGCTGGAATCACGAGGGGAGGAAAAACAACCAATCAGGCGCGTACACAACACAACCTGAGACAAATTCCAAACACACTGGAAAATGTGTGAGGAACGGGACACTCAAACCACGCTGAAATCGTGAGAGGAGGTCTGAAAACAAACCGCCCAAGCACGTACATGACGCAACCTGAGATAAATTCCAAACACGCTGAAATCGTGTGAGGAAAAGGGACACTCAAACCACGCTGAAACCATGAGAGGAGGTCCAAAAACAACCGCCCAAGCACGTGCACGACGCAACCTGAGATACCTGAGATAAATTCCAAACACGCTGAAATCGTGTGAGGAAAAAGGACACTCAAACCACACTGAAACCGTGAGAGGAGGTCCAAAAATAACCGCCCAAGCGCGTATACGATGTAACCTGAGATAAATTCCAAACACGCTGAAATCGTGTGAGGAAAAGGGACACTCAAACCACGCTGAAACCGTGAGAGGAGGTCCAAAAACACAAAGGAAATCAATCAGGAACGCGCTCCATGCAACCTAAGATAAATTCCAAACACGCTGAAAACATGTGTGGAAGGGGACACTCAAACCATGCTGAAATCGTGAGAGGAGTTCCAAAAACAACCGCCCAAGTGCATGCACGACGCAACCTGAGATAAATTCCAAACACACTGAAAAACGTGTGAGGAAGGGGACACTCAAACCACGTTGAAATCATGAGAGGAGGTCTAAAAACAACCGCCCAAGTGCGTGCATGATCATGCAAAGAAAACTGTAATAAAGCAGTTATACACAATAAATGCAACAGTTTAAGCAAGCGAATTCAAACCAAACTACATCACATGTAAAAAAGACGTAAGAGAATTATACAATTCTTGCTATGTCTGACGCGGAGAACATACAATATCGTCTGGTGCGTCTAGTCACGCCAGCTTTAAATGAACCGTACATACAATATCGTCTGGTCGCACCAGCCTCAAATGAACTGTACATACAATATCGTGTCTGCAAAAGAAAGACACTTAACAGGTACAATATAGTTAGCAACACATGTTCAACGCTATATCAAACGTGGACACATATGATGCTGATAGAAAAGTGCATAGCAATGCAAGTGAAACGTGCGTGACGACGCAAGCAAAGTGTGGGTGCATGACAATGCTAGTGAAACGTGCATAACAATTCAAGTAGTGTGCATAACAATGCAGGCGAGGATCATCCAATCAACAATGCTTAGACTATGAAGGTACAAGGTGACAAGATGATTAATTAGTCGTCTTAGTATATAGCTCAGAAAAGGAAAAAGAAATGAACAATCACATTTTCAAAATTTCTCATGGTAGTTGGAGAGATATGAGGTGAAGATGTGATTGTTCTTGATAGATACTAGGTCTTGTCTTGTTCTTGTGAGTATTGTTGATTCATCAGGAGGTCCAAACGTGCTCTTGTCAGCAAACTAATTATACGTGGTTGGGAATATTTCTCTTATTATAATAACTGCTAGATAAACAAGTTCATGCTTGAATATGTGAATTTCTTTTCTGTGAAGCAATTTTCAAAACATTTGCTTTTCTTTTGAGATCTAACTATTGAATATAATACTAAATTATGTGATGCAACCGTCTTGTTCACACTTCTATTACTACTCAATGACACAGGCAAGAGATATTTTTTCATTTTTGTTGGAGAAGGGGTTTAAAGAGATGATTTTATGATAAATAGAACGCACATTATTTGGAACATGTGATCTGAAAGGGTTTGCGTTACTTTGTTGATCACAAGACTTCAACATTTGCACAAGCTACTTAGCTAAGGAGAAGGACCTTGCAAAAAGTACGTAAATTTTTTAGCATGTTATTTTTACCACGCTCTCTATTGGAAGCATTTCTTTGTAGTTTTTTAGGATTCATGCTCATAAGGGATCTAAAAGGGACTTTTTCGTGTTGACTATCAGGTTACTCAACACACAACCCTCCTCTGCATCCAAGGTTGGAACCACCTATGTAAAAGATAAAACACTAAGCAAGACACAAGCAGAAGAGGATGTATAGATGGATGTGTGTGGTAAGACCAAAAAAGATAGAATTAGAGACGAACATATTCATGAAATGGTAGAAGTAGCACCAATTAAAGATATGTTGAAAGAATAGTTTGATCATGTACAACAAAAACTTGTAGATGCAAAGAGGTGATATGATCACCGTAAATGGCAATGTGAGGGGGAGGAAAAGACTTAAATTGACATGGGATACTATAATAAAGAAAGATATGATTTTTTATTTTATTTAATTGAGCATATAGCGTTTGACGGAACAAGATGGTGAAAAAGAATTTATGTGACTGACCCCACTTGATTGTGACACAAGACTTAGTTTGGTTTGATTTTTATTTTTCTTTAGCCTTGTGGTGTAGGTTTGAGTCTCTAAATTCGACTTCTCTAAAAAGTAGGGGTCAGAATACTTACCTATTACCTTCTTGTGAATGGGAGCTGCGCTATTTTCCCCTAACTTTGTAGTGCAGATCTGAATCATGGAAATCAGCCTCTCCACCAAAAAAAAAAGAGTAAAAAAAAAGGGACCATCTCTCTCTGACCCTATTGCAAGCAGGAGCCTTGTGCCCTAGGTATGGTCAAAGGAGTTGCCATAATGATTATGGAATTTTCTTGCGGTGATCATTTAGGGCATATTACTCAAGGAATGGGCCCAGTTTGAAATTGGTGACAATGAGATAGCCTTCATGAATGAGGTTCAATATTGATGAAGGGGCTGGTCTCTGATTGGGCTCTATCAGCCAGGTTTCTCTTTGCAAAGGTATGAAGCTGGTCTATCAGGATCTATGAGCAAGAGGACAATTTTCAAATGAAATGTTCAATGGAAGCCCACTGTGATCAGATAAAGGTCCTTATTTGTTGAGAGGAGAAAGGGTAAGTAGAGCAGCATGATTTAAGGCAGTGATTGTTTTTTGCAAACCGAGAGCATGTTAGAAGGAAGACAGTGGCTTGCAGCAGGAGGCAGAAGTGATGGAAAATGTTGACACGGGGAGAGCTCTGTGATGGATGATTGCTTGCAAATAACAGGTGAGTTGCTGAGATGAGAGAGATACTTTATTAAAAAAAGAGAGTTGGTGAGAGATAAGCATGTGATGGGAGCAACTGGTGTTGTATTAACAAACAGTGGTAGCAAAGTGGATGGATTGTGATTTTTTTTGTCACCTCTTGTTCCTTTGTTTTCTTTTGTTTTTTCTTTGAAGGAGATAATACATATGGAGAGAATCAAAGTGTTTAGTTGCTTTTCGAGAGTTTCTCAGCTTGTCAACATATTGCCTTAAAATTTGAATCCTTGGTTCCTTACCATGTGCTCTTATTGGTTGATTATTACTTTTATTTATCTAAAATGCCAGGATTTTTATTGTCATTAGCTGCAGTCTTTGAAGTTGGCCATTCTTTAATTTTGAGTTGATTATTCTTTATTAGCTTTAAAGAGAGGCTACCAAAAGAGACGTGGTACATATTTATGCTTCAAATGGTTAAGCTTTGCATGCCATGTTTGAGTCATTAGCCTTTTTGTCAGAGTTGCATTATCTTTCTGTAGTTTTCTTCTTGTTGTAATTTGTATGTCCTGCTAGTTCACTGTTGTTTTTTCAATTTGGATGTATCGTATGGATGGAATCTAACAGCTTTAACTAACTTGCAGTTCAAGAATTGCACAGCAAGGAGGTGAAATCGTCATATGATTCATATTTGAAAGGTCTCACAATATTAAAGGTGATCTTGGGAACAGTTTGATGCTTAAAATATTTACAAGTTTCCCTGAACAAAGTGCCGAAGTGTTTAGTTGCATGGTTACCCAACAGGTTTTAACATATTGTTTTGCTGATTTTGGTGGTTTTGGGGAGTCCCTGTGGCTTTCATGTATAAGAAACTTTTGGAGCCCTTTGGTAATGCCTCCTTGACATTAATATCCCATTTCATATTTGTGAATGCTCTGTTTTCTAGTTTATTGTTGATGTCTTATACTTTCTATTACCCTCTGTTTTTTTAGACGTAAAACATTTTCTGAAAAATGTTTTTTTTTTTTTTTTTGTGTTTTTTGGCGTTTGGTAGAAACAGCAAATGTTTTCCATGGTCAAGAGCTGGGCAATAATAGCTTCTCCGCATCCCAAAGTGTCCACTTTTAAATGGTGAAAAACTAATGCCACCACACTATTACCACTATCGCCATCACCGCCACCACAGCCACCGGCTTCTACCTCTACTCCTCCACCACCACCAATACAACCATTAGTACATTAGTTTTAACGATGCAACCAAACATACGAAAACGCTTTAGAAAACATTTTCTGTGGAAAATATTTTTTGCCTAAACAAATAGAGCGTTTATGTTTAGTATAGTTTCTATTGTTGTGATGCTGCACTTTTTACTCGAATTGACAATAAAAAAAATTATATATATTTTTTATAGATAGCACACTACAAAGCTACACCAATCAGCTGGCATGATTATTTTTCCATTACTTGAAGAAATAGAAATGCTTGAAAGGTTACTGTTGTGTCTTGATTCAGTACAATTCTTCTTTTGTAGGGAAGGTGCTATCTTGAAGAGCATGGAGTCCTTTGAATGATAATGTTATGGTAAACGAAATATTCACCATTTTCAAACCGTTTTATTTTATTTTTGTGTTGTCATTAGAGAAATGTTCCATTAAATTCTCTTCAGTTATAAACAATCTTGTCCTTTCTTACCATTTGCACGCTTGTCCTCTTTGGCCTTTTGCTGTTTCTTTTAACATCCTAATATGGATCAAATCATTTGCACATGGCCACAACTAGGGATGGCCACGAGGCAGGGGCTTTTCCCTAATTAAACTAAAATACCAAGTTATTTCTCAAATTATGTCTAATTTTGACGAATTTTCCAAAATAAGCTGAAACGTGATTAGAAACCACGCTTTCACTGTTTTTGTAATCTAACCGCATAAAATTTGTAAAATCGTAAATTAAAAAAGCGTAATTACAAATCACGTTTTTAAGAAAATTTGATTTATAAATAAAGCGTTGTTTTTAACCATGCTTTTTAAATATATATATATATATATATTTTCCCAGAAAACGTGGATTTTAACCACACTTTCTTAATCAAGCTGTGTTGTAAAGAAAGCGTGGTTAGAAACCACGCTTTCAATAATAGACCAAACAACTTCACGCACTCACAAACACACACTCTCTCTCTCTCTCTCTCTCTCTCTCTCTCTCACACACACACACACACACACACACACACACACCACTCACACTCACACTCACACTCACATCAAACATATATAATTTTTAATATATATAAATAGTTATAAAATTGAAAACAATATTAAATATATAATAATAATAATTTATAATAGCAAATAATAATCAAATATATAAAATGATTACTTATTTATTTTAATTCTTAATTTTTTTTTATTTTAAGGTTTAAGATTTAGGGTTTAATTTGTAATTTTTTTTTAATTTTTTGTTTGGTAACCATTCCGTTTTCAGTTTATATTTATAAAATTTTTAAAAACTGTCATAAAAACTTGTTAAATAATTTTTTTTTGGTTTATAAATGGTTGTCTCAATTTATAAATTTGAGGAAAAAACGTAAACTCAAAAAATGAGTTTACGTTTTCAGTGTTTCAATTTTTTTTTCAATAAATTTTTTTTTCAATTATTTTTTTTAATAAATATTTTTTTTTTCATTTTTTTCAATTAATTTTTTTTTCAAATATTTTTTTTTTCCAAGGTTAATTTTTTTTTCAATTATATATATGTGTGAATCCATTGATCATATA